TCTTACATCTCTAATTTCTACTTCACTCTTTGCCTCGCTCTGGCTATGAATGCGCTCAGAAAGAAAAACAAAATCATGCTTTTCCTTGATGCTGTTGTGTCTAACTCCCCAGTGGCTCTTCTTCCAGATTCCCCTAAACACAAGTCTACCCTCGGAGCGTGATCTGAAGACCAGCAACAAGGGCGTCACCTGAGAGCTTGTTAGAAATGCAGACCCACTGCTCAGAATGTGCACCTTTCACTGGGTCCCCAGGTGACTGAGTAAAATGTGAGAAACTCTGGTCCATACCGAGTCTGCTTCTACAGCACTCGGACTTAACGGATCCTTCTGAAATCCAGCCGCACGCGTCTCACTGTAACACTTCCCCAAAAGCTGCAACAGGAGTTGCAGACTTTTTAGTGGACTCTTTACCAGGCTCCAGCTCCCCTGACCTCCCCGGAACGCACCCTGCCCTCTTCCTCTTTCCCACTCTCTTCTGTTGGCCTATGAGACACCATCCTATAAGGCAGCAGCACGCTGCATGACACGAAAGTCCAGACACTGACAGCTGACCACATACGCCTGTGCTCACCCACAGCAGGCACACCCAGCTCTGCGTGATCAGGTACCGCAGTCCTCACTGCCTTCCTAACGGTCAGGGGGACGGGGGAGTGGAACATTCTGCTGTGCTTCCTGGAGAAGCTTTGGTGCTGGAAGCAGCTCACTTCACACCCATCTCACTTCAAACACTCCTCTTCCTGCTTCTAAAGAACTATTCTACATTCATTACCACCTCCTGCCAGGGACCCCCCCCCTCCTTTTCCTTCATTTACTCCCCTCCTCTCTACCTCGTTCATTCTTCGCTCCCTCCTTCTCTCCTCCCCTCCTCCTGATTTCCTGACTGTCCTCAGGTCACAGCGCATCTTGAAAGAAAGCTAACAACTGAGCTCCTTAAGCAGCATTCTAGTTTAATCTGTTGTTGACACCTGGTAAGGTATACAACTTACTTCCTTTCCTCCTCTTTTTCTCTCACTATACGTTCAACAGGTGATTTTCTTTGGCTGAGAGAATAGATCCAAATCCACGTTTTAAATCAACATTCTGTCAAATGACTTTTTTAGAAAATACAGTGCTTACTTTCTATTTGTCCACTTGATGTATTTTTTTCCCCTAGACCTGCAGCTCCAGATAAATGATCAACATGGCTCGGTAGTTGAATCTCGGACGTCCTCTGTTAAAATTAACATTAATAATGAGTTGCATAAAGATTACCTGATCCCTTTGTAAGAAAATACGTGTGTTTCCTATCTTATTGTTATTTCTTAATTTCCTACTTTAAAAGCAATTAGACTTAAAAACAAAATAAGCATATCCTGGAAACCCAAATATTTAAATAGAAAATTTCATATACACTCTCTAGATCAAGTCTATCTTTTATCTTCAGTTGGCTTTTGACTCTGTAAACTGAGCATGGAAAGCCAGAGCAAATACTTTCATGGACAAAATACTGACCTACGTGCAGATTTCAACAAAGAATTAACTTCAAAACACCTAACTCCATTTTGCATTCCTCGACAAAAGAAGAGGACATTTAAAAACATACACATTTTTATATGTATAACTGAATTGCCTTGCAGTACACTTGAAACTAATATTATAAACTGACTACACTTCAATAAAAAGTAAAATTAAAAATATACATTTAAATATATTCTTTAATAACTACACGTGCTATAAATTTAAAATGTTTCTTAGGACAGATACTGTTTTTAATATTAAAATAACATACTTGACATGAAAAGAAGCCTTGGGGTCTGTCATGTTGAGTATCAACAGAACACTGTGGAAACTGCTACATTTCAGTAAACAAAGGCTTAGCGGAATCTAACTATTATTAGACAAAATTTTTATTGATAGGAAAAATAGTTGAATAAAATACCAAAGTAGAAAGAAAAACATTTATGTTAAAGTTAACAGCAGAGAAATTTTCAATGTAGCTATGCAGCTCTTCAAAAAAGTACCATAAGCTTTACTTTACTTAGGGAAGAATAAGAACAGTTTAGTGACCATCTGCACGTGCCAGGCCCTTATTATGCACATTCTCTTCTCTACACACAATAATAAGTGATTCTAAGGATGGTTACCCACTTGCTGCTTCCTGGCCACTCCAAGATGCTGGAGTACAGTGATGAGATGTGACCCGCTGTTCTCTCTGTCCGGAACATCCCTCCCCTGGACCTTCGTGTGACTGGCTCTTTCCTGTCCATCACCTGGCAGCTTTGGTCACATTCAGCTCTTTTCTGACTAAGTAAATTCCACCCTTACTCCACCCCCGTCCTAACTACAAACTCCCCCACTGTTGTCTAACCTAACGCTCTCCACGTTCCTTATGTGAAGGACTTAGTGTCCCTGATAAAGGGTTGCTGTATACTTGTTCTTCTGTTCCTGCCACTACAGCCTAACCCCTCAACTGCTACATTCGGTGTCTAACTGCCTGGTGCTAGTTGGTGTTCAGGAACAGGAATTTATTTAAGGTCAAAACACCTAAAATCCCCAGAAGGCATCAAGTACCAAAGCACTATATACCTGTTGGAGATGTCCGATAACAGTTTACTGACACTTAACATACCCCAAATGAGAACTCCCCATGCCCGCTCTAACTTTCCCATTTTATTGTCCTTCTGATTTTAAAAAAGTGTCCTCAGCATTTCAGTAGGTCACTAGTGGCCACTGTCATCATTCTGCC